ACCTCTGTTTCACGGAGCGAAATATTGTGTGAAAAATACTAGTTATGGTATTATAGTTATAGACTAATTATACAAAGTTTATAATTATGTAAGTGTGTATTGAAATTAATGGGTAAATATTTGTGCCATGTAGTTTCGTCCCTACTACATAATGCCAAGCAGCAGTGTTACCCATGTTCCCTTCATTTTGTGTGACACAATGGGTCTGGAGGATGGTGTGAACACTGGTCTGGATGTAGATGTTGCCACAATTTTGAAGGGTCACATTCAAGACAAGTATCAGGTGAGAACTTTAGGTACCGTGTTAACTTAATAGTTAGGTCTGGAAGATCAATTATCAATGTTTTTATTCATTATTTTCTGTTGCGTCAAAATGTTTTAAAGATATTCTTTATGATCATTTTTCTCAGTTTAACCCACTGATGCCTATACAGCCAGACTCCCCTCATTTCCATAAGTCTCCTGGCTTGAAGGACAAGATTCACTGTGTGGTGTTTGTGATTGACATCAGCAGAGTCAAGCTTCTCTCTGACAAAATGATTGAGAAGTTTGTGGTTTTTCGAAAGAAAGCCAACCAGCTAAGTGTGTAACAATTTTGAACAGATTTTAATTAATTTCAAGTGACATGAGGGTATTATATCGTGTAAATGATGGAAATTCAATCTACAGTACACTTACTGTATATATAGGGGCAACCTCTCCACCAACCTGAGTTTAAAGAGATCAGAAAATTCTGTCCTCATTCACTCACCCACATGTTGTTCCAAATCTGAATGACTTTCTTGTGTTCTGTGGAACACACAATAAAAATATATTTTGAAGAACGCTAGTTACTAAACAATTTTGGTTTTCATTGACTTCCATTTTATGGACAAAACTACAATGGAAGTCAATAGGAATATAAACAATTTGGTGTTTAACATTTTTTTCTCAATATCTTCTTTTGTATTCAGCAGTTGAAAGAAATTAATACAGGTTTGGAACGATATAAGAGTAAGTAAATAATTACAGGATTTTGTGGTGGACTGTCCCTTGAAATCCCATGCTCAAGAGCACATCTTGTGGGGTTAAAGTGTACAACTAGCATGAGTCTTTAATCATTAGGGTTGCATCATCATAGGATAGTGGTCTCTGGGATGTGATAGCATATAAGGTGTTGTTTTGTACTTCAGGTATTCCTCAGCTGGTTCTGCTGACTAAGGTGGATGAGGCCTGCCCCTTAGTGGCAGAAGACCTGAAAAATGTCTACCAGAGCCACTATATCAACAAAATGGTATGAATTAATGTATATACATTTGTAGTAAGTATTCTGTAATGTTCAGTTTGTTTTACATATTGTCTTGGTGAATTATTTTGTGACAGATGCAGGAGGTTAGCTCTCAGCTTGGAGTTTCTCTGTCTGCTGTGGTCCCAGTGAAAAACTACTACCAAGAACTGGAAATAGACTCTCAAACAGACATTCTGCTTCTAAACGCTGTTGTTCAGATGCTCAGAGCTGCTGAGGGCTATTTTGATGATTTTTACAATCCAGAAGAGAGGTCTGAGTAAAAACCATTTTCCCTTTCTGACCAAAAGATTTTGAATATCAGTACACTCTTAAAAATAAAGGTGCTTCAAAAGGTTCTTCAAGCGATGCCATAGAAGAATCATTTTTGGTTCCACAAAGAACCATTCAGTCAAAGGTTCTTTAAAGAACCATCTCTTTCTTACCTTTTTGTAATCTGAAGAACCTTCTTTCGCCACAAAGAACCTTTTGTGAAACAGAAAGGTTCTTCAGATGTTAAAGGTTCTTTATGGAACCATTTAGACAAAAAGGTTCCTCTATGGCATCGTGAAGCACCTTTATTTTTAAGAGTGTACACTGAACAAATTGGTGTAGAAACAATTTTCTGCCATTAACTTAACAAATAATGATAATTAAAAAAAAACAGTAACACACTGAATTACAGTAAACAACATTTTCAAGTAGAAACACTAAAATATAATTTTTTTGCACAACATACATAAAAATCATATCTCTTCGTTTACACATAATCACATTTGACAAGCTCATCTCTGTACTCAGAATCAGAAGAACGCTTCTCTCTGTTAAGAAGCTTTACATACTGTCTTTGTAAACTGTAAATTGTGCAGCTGTAATTGGTGTGGTTTATTAACAACTCTATCTTGTCTTATTAAATGCTGAGATGATAAGATTGTGCCTTCAGTCAGTGTATATTAAAAATAATTATGCTTATGTTGATTAAGTCTCTTCCTATGTTAATTCATTTTATCAGCAAGTGTGACTGTGATTATGTTCATTATGTTACTGTATAATCATTCAAAGCTAATAAAAATAGAGGCTATTTAGTGGAATTATTTAATATTTGAAAGTGCAGTTTGTGCCTGTGGCATTATATTTGCAGTCTAGTGACACAAGTAAGATAACTCGTTTTTTTTTTTTAAATCATGTTTTTATTGTTAGTTAGCTGTATTTTTTTGTTGTTGTTATTTTTACTTAATCAAAATAATCTAACTGCAATTTGATTGAGATGATTTGGAATGCATAATGGGGGAAAAAAACATGATTTTTGAAAATTGTTAAAAATTGAGTTATTTGGTTTTGCAAATGAACTCTTCATATACATTATGGATCAAGTGCATTTTGTGAGGGGAAAAAAATTTAATTTTCATGACATTTAAGAACAGTTTCACCAAATTACAAAGGCAAAGGGACTGTCTTCTGTTGTTCCTGGCACATGTGATGTGAATTCATTTCTGATATACCGGTAGTTAGGCATCCTCTCTGAAATGTTTTAATGTACACAGCATTCCCCAGTGGTGGTGTGACAAACCTTTACTCTTCCATTGACTACATCCACAAGTCTAACAAAGATAAAACATATGTGAATCTGAAAAATATAAAGAATGCTAAATGTTGACTTTATTTATTGATATTTTTTCATACATGAGGAAAGATCTGAAAATATAGTTATAGTGATACTCTAATAATGTAATAAAGCAATTACTAAATCAATACTTGTACATACTGAAAAAGTAAACAGTAGAAATGCTAACCAGCTGGAAAATGTATAGTTAAATGTGAATTTGAATGTAACGTTCCTCTGTGTGGATAATATTTGTTGTTCTGACATCTCATTTTATGACTATAGAGTCAGTCAGGTTCTTGTATGGTGTGTTGAGTGTTTCCTGTCACTGTGGGCTTCAGAGCACAGTAATACAGAGCAGAGTCTGATACAGCAGCAGAAGAGATGATCAGATCCACACTGTTATCTTCTTTTCTGGGACTGATGGATATTCCAGAAACTGGAGGATTAGCACAAGTAGTTGATCCATAGGAATCCAGGATGAGGAACTGTGGTGGTGAACCTGCATATTGCAGATACCAGTGAAGACTCTTGACAGAACCAGTATAGTTACAAGAGAGTTTCACAGTCTCAGTCTCGATGGCAAATGCTGTATCACTGTATGGGGTGATGACATCTTTAGCTCTGTTACCTACTGT